TTTTTTTTTTTTTTTTTTTTTTTTTTTTTTTTTTTTTTGGTATCTGGGATTGAACTCAGGGGCACTGGACTACTGAGCCAAATCCCCAGCCCTATTTTGTATTTTATTTAGAGACAGAGTCTCACTGAGTGGCTTACGGCCTCACTTTTGCTTGCTGAGGCTGGCTTTGAACTTGGGATCCTCCTGCCTCAGTCTCCTGAGCCGCTGGGATTATAGGCATGTGCCACTGCGCCTGGCTTAAATTCTTTATTTTAAAAATGATAATTACAGGGCTGGGGCTGTAGCTCAGTGGCAGCGCGCTTGCCACGCATGTGTGAGGCACTAGATTAGAACCTTAGCACCACAAAAAATAAACAAAGGCATTCTGTCCATCTAAAAAAATGATAATTATAATGTAAGATGGTGCAGCTGCTTTAGGAAACAGTTTGGCAGTTCCTAAGAATATTAAACATAGGGCTACCATGTGACCACTCTTGGGAATATACCCAAGAGAAGTGAAAACGTGTGACTACACAAACACTTTAGTATAATGTTCTCTCCTAGTAGCATGATTCCCAATAGTCAAAAAAGTAGAAATTACCCAAATGTCCATCAATGGATGGACTAAGAGACCTTTTGTGGACCATAGCTATAAAAGAATATTATTTGGGCATAAAAAGGAATAAAGTACAAATACATACTACCTTGTTCTTAAACCTTGAAAATAGTTTGTTAAGTGAAAGAAACCAATCACAGAAGGCCATGTAGTGTATGATTCAATTTTTAATGACATGTCCCAGAATGAGCAGGCCTAAAGGAACAAAAAGTCCACTAGAGGTTGCCAAGTGCTCAGGGTGAGGAATAACAAGGAAGGAGGGAAGCTGCCACAGAAAAGTGAATGTTAATGTATACTGGATTTCTTTTTATGTGGTGAAAATGTTTTAAAATTGATTTTGGTGGTGGTTGCCCACTCTTTGAATATGCTAAAATCTCACTGAATTTTATGCTTTGAGTGAATTATATACTTCAATGAAGTAATTAAAAAATAACTAAAAATATCTGTGTCCTAATAAAGTCAGTGAACTTGTTTTTGTTATCATTGTCTAAACCTATCATAGGCCTTTGTGTTTTTTTTAAATTTTAGTTGTAGATGGACAGAATATCTTTTTTATTTATTTTTATGTGGTGTTGAGAACCAAAAACCCTCACATGTGCTAGGCAAGCATTCGACCACTGAGCCACAACCCCAGACCCTTCTCATAGGCCTTTGAGAACCTGACATTTTGTGTTTACTGATATCACTCCTGAAAAGCCTTGGGCTTGTACCTTTTCAAATTTTGGTAACCCAAAATTCAACTGAGGTAGACTTACCAGATTTATTAATAAATATATAGGACACCCAGTTACATTTGTACTTCAAATTAAAAATATCCTATTAGTATAAGTGTTTCAAATGCAATATTGGAAATATACTTTTACCAAAAAATAATTATGTGTAGTTGATCTGAAAAGCAAATGTAACTGGATAATCTCTGTTTTATCTGACAACTCTAAATTGAGGAGGAATAACAGAAAGATTGAATGGTCTCTATCAGGTCTATACATTATTTCAGGGGGGGGGGACTCCAGCAGGTCAGTTTCCATGCTAAGGCCACCTAGCCAGGTTGTCCCTACAGCATGAGAAACATCAAGCCTGTCTTTTCTGACCGTGAACAGAGGGAAAGCCTATCTGGAGTCTTTTCCACCTCAGGGCACTTCTTTGCCTCGGGTCCATCATGGCTTCAATCTTCCAACCCAGCCAAGCCCTGGCCACTGCTAAGCCCTCTTCTTTAGAGTTGAACTTCTTTTCTAGGTTGGCCCTCTGCTCCTTTCTCTTCCTGAATCCCAGCTGCCATAAGGAAAGTTATTTCAGGGCCAGAAATGGTAGCTCAGAGCTATAATCCTAGTGACTCAAGGATCACAGCCTTGGCAGTTTAGTGAGACCTTCAGCAACTCAGTGTGACTCTGTCTCAAAATGAAATAAAAAGGAATGAAGATGTAGCTCAGTGGTAAAGCACCCGTGTTTTGAATCTCCAGTACCAGAAAAACAAAGAAAGAAAGAAAAAGAGAAGAAGTGAGGGTGCAGGGAGAAAAGGAAAAAAGAAAAAGGAAGGTTATGTTCTCAGGTGACAAAAATTCACTCAGCATTCAGGAGAATTCAGGAAAGGAGCATTCAAGAGACCTAAGAATTGCTTGCAACGCTTGGCTGTGTGCGAGCAGTTCTTGGGCTCAAGAGTTCAGCCCACCTCTTAGGATGGAGGACCAAGATATTTTGAGCCATGTCATGGACTCTTAGACCCCAGTTTTGGAGAATGGTTATCTCTTGGGGAGAGAGGAGAGGAATAGGATAAGGAAGGCCTAGGGCAGTTAGCTGTATAATTTAGCTTTTAAAGAGAAAAACAAACATGTTAAATATGGTAGTGGTTGGTATGAAATATATGTCATATTTTTTATATTTCTGCATATTTAAAAATTTTCACAGAATAGAATTTTTAAAAATTAAAGTGTAAGTAAACCTGCTCACTTTAAAAAGTGTACAGCTGGGAGTGTAGCTCAGTGTTACATGAGTTAGCATGCAAGAGGCCCTGGGTTCAATCCCCAGTGCACACACACACACACACACAAAAAAAAAAAAAAAAAACCAGTATAGAAATACTTGTAAACAATTCTTAATTTGGAAAGTATGAATCCTAATCGTGTCATAAAAGCCTTTGTGGAGGGAAGAAAATATTATGAAGAAGTATTGCACAGTCATATGTTCAGAAGTACTCAGAGGACTAGGGAGGTAGCTCAATGGTAGAGCACATCCTAGCATGTGCAAGGCCCTGGGTTTAATCCCCAGCACAGCAAAAATAAAACAAAAGATTTAGAAAAAGAAGTACCCAGAATTGGCGAGGAAGAGATGGAGAGAGAACAAGAGGATTTATTAACTTCTCTAAGTACAAATCCTCGGGGCTTTTATAATCCAGTAGGGGAAGTCCACACATGCATGAGATCAAGATCACTCACTAAACAAGCACCTGGTAAAAAATAATACAAATCAACTATAATATCTACTTGATGAAGTGAGGTTAAAAAGATGTTTATAGTGGGTAGGGAGAGCCAAGCATCAGAGAGATTGAGGGCAAAGAAAAAGTGAACACAGCAAACATTTTTTTAAAAGGGGCTGGAGAAATTTAGAAGAATGTGCTCTTAGGATCCTGGGCATACTCTCTATATCCATGGTTCTCAATCTTTTCTTTCTATATTGTCTTCTCGAAAGAAACCTCCAACGCATGCAATTCCTTTTTAAAAAATGTATGTGTCTCTCCTTCCCTCACTCCCTCCCCAATACACACAAATACATTGCACATACTCCCAGGCACCCCCACACAGAGGCACTGTTGGCCTATGATGCATCCAGCCTCCACTGCTGCTGAAGACTTTCTTGTAGGAACATCTTAAGCAGCGGGGCCTTATGCCCACTCACACTTTGCACGCCCTCTCTGCCCTCATTTCTCTCTCTCCCTCTGTTCATCTCTCTCCTTCTGCTGTTTCTCTTACTGCAGGCTAAAAGAGCACACAGGTGTCTAAACAGAGCCAAGATGATCATGTTACTCCCAGAGTCTCATGGTCTGCTTAGGCACATATCCCCAGAAGAACATCAGAAAGAAAGGAAGCTCATTAAAATAGCTTATTAGACTCCAGCTGACTTTCCATTAAGTTTGACACATATGAGCCTGAAATTTTTAATAATGCCCTGCCCTTTCCAAACTTCCATTGAAGATGAAAATTGTTTGATGCAATTTTGGCAGGGAAATTTTTGCTAAACAATTTCCAATATAATCTAGAAATATCAATCATTAAAAAAGAAGGAGGGGCTGGGGTTGTGGCTCAGTGGTAGAGCACTTGCCTAGCACATGTGAGGCCCTGGGGTTCGATTCTCAGCACTGCATATAAATAAATAAAATAAAGGTCTATTGACAACTAAAATAAATATTAAAAAGGG